ACCATGTCTGAGAATCTTTCCGAAGCTGAGGAACGATTGCAAGAAGGGTATGCGCACACAGATAGTCAATCGGAGCCCGGTGTGGAATCGTTTCTAGCTAGCGATACACATAGCATGTCTAGCAGTCTGCTCAATAACAATAACACAGCTCGGGAAATCGGGGATGGTGCCGATAGTGAGAAAGATAAGCTAAGGTATTGCATGGCAAGCATGTATGTTTCCACTTCTATCCACATTCGTTTTGTTTTACCCTTATACCTTGGGATAATGTTTTCAGTGCTGGCGGGTGATATAGTAGTGGTTACAAGCATCCATCCTTATGTACATGAATAAAAAAATACTCCTCATTTATTGTTTTGAAACTTAGTATGTTTGATGGTCAAAAAGTTGTGGTGAAAACAAATTGGAAATTGCATGCTCATTTGCATATAATACAGAAAGGTGAAAACTTAAAATCTCCATCATTAAATTCAACACTCATCAACTTGAATCTCAATCATCTCTGGTATACTTCATGATCATACTGTTCCTGTGGTGACAATATGTGTTAGTTGCATGCTGAATAGCCCTAACCCTAAACCTACCTACTCCCCAATTGAGATGTACGCTACTGTTTGCTGTGTCTAGTGACAGTAGCCAGCTACACCACATACAGTCCAATCAAAATAGTCACCCTACCACTACCATTTTCTTTGATATTCATACACACAATCATTGTAAATCTTACTATTCATAAAATGCTACAAACTCAGACAGGAATAATGTGAATCATTGGTTGGCATGGTTACAAAAATAATGGCCGTTTTGAAAGCTTTGTGTTTATATCAACAAAAAATACAAATAATTTGCTAAAAAAATACTAATTTTGCTAAAAACACACAAATAATATTTTGACATGTATATGTGTTGTGCAACCAGCAATTGATTAATCTTTGTCCATTTATATATATATATATATATATATATATATATCAGTTAATAGACTGACATCTGTAGATAGGGTGTGTCCATTGTTTGTATCAAATAGGTTAATTTTAGATTTTCATTGGAAAAAAAAAATGGTTCATCCGACCAGTTAATCCTGAGTGGTATATTTGTAGCAAAATATTCTGTTTTTAGTGATACATTTGTAGCACCTGATTTGCACTACTGACATGTACAAAGGTATCTGGGTTGTTGTTTTTTGTATAGCTATGATTTGCACAAAATCTGCTTGGAATTCCTATGCAGGATTTGTGTATGGTTGGTTTCCCATTGGTCAGTATTTAAGGGTGCCCGCTGAAGTTCACAAAATAATCTGATTTTTTTTAGTTTATTATGACGCTTGAATTCAATTCTTGAAACTGTATTCCAACATTAACATGTGAAGATGGATCCAGCTGTGGATCATGTAGATTCTGAAATGTTAACATCTTCATCATTATCTTGTAGTCACAGTGGCCATGTTGCTTCCGACTTGAGTGATTCCGAACCCGAAATCGTGACTGAAGTACTTTCTGGCGTAGCTTTCCAAAGGATGACTGTTAAAGCGGGAAAATCACAGAGAAGTCCTGGAGTGGTCAGACGAGGTCTAGAAGTGGTGGAAGAAAATGGTAAGTTTATAAATAAATAATTTGCTGCATGTGTCTGCATTTTGTAAAATTTGGTTTGGGTGCTGCTCTGTATTCATGAATTTATTTCATAATAACTATAATTTGATGGAAAATTTTTTAATCTATTTGTAATTAGGAGCATTTCATTTTATCACCCTGCTGCTTCAAATTACCTGTGTTTCATGTCCACTCGGTTTCATGTCCACTCGGTTCATAGCAGATGTTCTGTCTAGTTTGGGATTAATGCTATCTAATACAGTTAAAAATAGTTACCTCAGTAAAAATAAAGAATCATACAAATATTATATCTGTGCTACCACAGACACAAGAACCTGTTATTATTTACATTCAGTTCATACACACTTGCTATAATATAAAAATAGAAAAATTTCCCTCCCCATTTGTGTATTAATTCATATATTACTTTTTTGTTTTTGGAAATAGACTTTCACTTTAAAATTTATTTTTTGTAAAATTCTGAGATAAACCCTGAAAACAACTTGGTTGTGACTGTTTTTTAAAGGGCACATATTAGCGTAAACCAACAATGATGGGTGTATAGAAATGTAATTTTTTCAAAGTATTGTTTTGTTTTCATTTTTAAAGGTGAGCTTTTTGCAAAACACAAAACCAAACCAAATCAAAACAAGGTTAAAATTTAACTAAGCTAAAATAATTCCTGTCATTATCATCACACTTGAAATGAAACATTTTTAGGAAAATGAGATATGAATATTGCCAAAATTGTCATACATTTTCAAATATTTAGATTACTCCATATTATAAAAAAATATATATTTTTATTATTTAGTCACTTTTGATTGACATATTTGAACATTAAATTTAATCAGATGTTCTCTTCTATGATATGAAATCTCAAATGTACTTGAAATTGTCAGTCTATGAAATACACACTGTCTGGAATGCTGAATAGCTTAGATGTGCATGGAGGAGTGTTAATTTTGGTGGGGGACCAACATGTACAGTATAAGTATACTTGCATTATATTACAAGTGGGTTGTGACTGTCTAATGAATAGTAGAGCAACAGGTCTAATGATGTGGTCGCACAGTGATATGTATATATACTAGGATTTGACTGCTGAGATTGTGTTTTTCTCATTCATATTGGCGAAGGGTTCCAGCAGGTGTTGTGTTTAAGGGTACGCAACAGGTGTTTTATGCAATGAAGATAACAATTTTAGTCCTGAATTGTGAGCTCTCAAAATCACAAGACTAGCATGCACTGACCAAATGAGTGAGTCTGTGAAACAACTATTTAGTGTTCATCTTAGGCTGTTTTGACTAGCATCCTGGCTTAGTCTCAATTTAATTAGTTTTTGCTTTAACTCATTTCCGATAGAAATAAAACCTTGTTCACTGCACTCTGTTATGTCATAGATATTCAAATGATGCAGAGTTAAAATCATATATAATGGGGTCTTTATCGTATATCACTGTACTTAAATATCTAAGTTTCATATCCTTGTACATTTTTACTGTGTGTTTTACAATTGATTCAAAATTATTCAAAATGTTTACATTGTATTTACACTGCATGAAGCTGAATTTCAACAGTTAATCCAAGTCAAGTGTATGTTGATAAAAATATGTGCATGAATTGTTACTTGTATTGCCAGTACTGATATTTGTATTGGTGCAGGTTTTGCACTGGTGCCCAGATATTCTGAAACCATGCATGCATAGATTGTCTATATCATGATGACCATTTACATTTCTTCAGAAAATCTTCTGTATTCCGTCCTGATGATTATAGTTATAATAAATCTGCATGTGTCATCTTGATAATGGTCTGCCTTTTGTTCCCATTTGAAATTAAACAAAAATATTTTCGGTTCTCAGCTTACACAAAACAAGTACAAATTGTATTGGTATTCACAAATCAATGTGTTAGAAACCCAGTATTATAGTTGGTGAAGGAGGGTGTGGCAGAGTGGGGGCTTGTGACTGTGATATCTTATAAGGGGTTTATAGTACGTAGAAGTACATTGGCACCTAACACCAGTCTGCTAGTAGCGTTTTATTTATTTATTTTAATAATTATTTGCACAATAACAGCACATCATAATTGCTGGCACATATTAGCACGTTAACATAATGGTGACGGTATAATAAAGTAATTGTTGTTATCCTGCACAACTGAAATGATTATTCGGTGCAATATCAAATTCTTCAGAAGCACCTGTTGTTTAATTCTGGATAATGCCACATCATGGCCCTTATAAGTTAAATTAAACATTCTAATTTATTTTTTTAACCTTTTGAGTGATATTATTTTCACTAAAATGTTGGTGCCATATTTCGTTGGATTTTTTTTTATAATTTTGTTAATTTTTGGCTAAAGGGAATGGACGTCTTTTTCCTGTCAGGTTAATTTTATTATATGTGACAACAATTTATTTTGGTGCTAAAAAAACTGATTGGTATGCAAATCACCTAATTAATATGCATATATGGTACATGTAACTGTTTTGTGAAAAGTTACAGAAAATGACTTTGGCATCCAAAATGTTAACAATATGCAAATCACCTGATTAATATGTGCAGATGGTACTCAGAACTATTTTGTGAAAATTGACTAAAATTGACTTAAATTGACTTTGGCACTCAAAATGTTAACAATATGCAAATCACCTGATTAATATGCACAGATGGTACATGGAACTATTTTGTGAAAGGTGATAAAATTGACTGTCACTCAAAAGGTTATTGTTTGTCTTGACTATATCAAATTATAATTTGTGTTCTTTTGTTTTTGTTTTGTGTTTTTTTTTCTTCTTCACTAGATACCCATGAGTCGAGTATTAAGCCAATCATTGGTCTAGAACCGAGCACAGATAGTGGCATTGAATCATTGAGTGGTGCGCCACCAGGTGGTGAATCAATCCACAGGCCACCATCACCATCATCATCACTATCATGCTCAGCATCAATAATAACTACTGCCACCACTGACTCTAATGGTAGTATCGCTGCCGCCTCCACTGCTTCAGCCTTCACTGCTAACAGTAACACCCAGAAACACTGTTATAATGAATGTACTATCTATGACAGCCAATCCTCTGCACCCCGAGCTTCATCTAGTAAAAATATATTCATGTCATTTGACAGTAAGCACTCTCCTTCTTCTTTTAAACATATTAATAACAAAACTAAGTTTTCACAGAGAGGTGGAGTTTCTCGACAATCTCTCACATCTGACATTGGTCGTAGTAATTTT